TCGCACGGAAGGGCGGTTCAGTTGCATGCTGCACCAGACAGACCCGTTTGGGTCACTTTGCAGGATGCTTCCCATCTAAACTGCGAATGCTGGGAACGGAGATCAGGTGCTCTTCAGATCTCAGGCTCTAGTTAAGTTATCAAAAGAGGAGAGAGGATGCTTGTAAGCGTGCTGGAAGAGAGCAGCTTTCCTTGGGGGGAAATGCCTCGGGCAGTGGGGTAGGGATCCTGATCTCCTCTGCAGTGCAGTGAATTTAAAGCAACTCTGGTAAAAATAAATGAAATTACTCCAGTTTTGGCTCAGCGTATCTGCGATCGGAGTAGAGACTCCACCAAGCAATGAATGTTTAATAGGACCGTCTGCGTATGTTGCAAGTAACCCAAATAGGCCCATCGGAGTTTCAAATTAATTCCTTTAAAACAGGTTTTTCCCCATTGTGTTTCCCATGTGATTTTTAACCCTTGCTTTGCACGCGCTGGTGGCACGTGTCGGTGTTTTCCAGTTTGTCTGTTTTTAAGGCGGCCGATGACCGTTGCATCGGAGGGACAGCCCCTCTTACCCACCTCCCCGAGACGTAAGGCAAACCTGCGGTGTCGAAACGCAGCCTCTAGCCCAAACCTTGCTTAGCCGATCGCATTTCAACTGCGTGCTGCTTCCCTGGCTCCGAGAAGCGGCTGCGGTGAAACAAGGGGCTGTCTTTGATGGGGTAACCCTAATGGGGGCTCAGGGAGAGCTTGACAAACCACACCTATTGCTATTTAGATGAAGTATCCTGTCGATGGTTTTGTGCCTTTGTTACAGGTTTTGTTTGCATCTTTCATGGCAACAGAAGTTATTCCCTGTATTTATTCTTACTTTTAAACTCAGCTTTTCGTACACATTCACTCACCCTACAGAGAAGATGAAGGGGTTTATTGCGGGCTCCTGCGGTGCTGCCTTCAGCCCAGGGTCAGCTTAGAAGGGCAGCAGCTACGTCTCTCCTCCTGCAGTGGCAGATTTCTAACAGCGTTGCAAGGAGTTCAGGGGTGGGAGATCACCCACCCAATTACAGATTTTATCTGTAATGGGGCTTTATCTCTGGCCGTTACAGGGTTTCTGCAGCAAGCAGGGCATGGGGGCTGAGATGACCAAATCCCTCCCGGGGATTTTCCTGCCTTGGAGGACCTAAGCCAGGCTTTTCCCTAAAGCCACAGCCACACCGTGGGTGAACATAGGTTTTCATCGGTTGCCACTCTGAGTGGCATCACCAGCTTTGTATTTATTTCTCCTGCCTTTTGCTCGAGCCCTCAGTCCCCAGCAAGAGCTAACAGGATGGCATTACTACCTGTGGCTGCATTTTCTTGGCAGCAATTGGAGTTGCATTGGTCCCGGAGCATGGAGACCTCCCTCTCCAGCATCTCAATCCTGCTCAGCAGCTCCTGCAGGGACGGGAGGGAGGTGGAGCACTTGCAGGCCTGCTTGGGCAAGTTTATCCTGTGGGTGAAGGTGACCTGGCTCTCGCTGTCGGAGGTCTGCTCCGCGTACTCTGCCAGCCGGTCGTCTTCTGAACTCACCTCCTCGGCTGAAGACTTGAACATGGATGAGCAGCAGCTGTCCAGGGGGATGTTGATGTTGTAGATGTGGTGGAAGACCATGGGCTGCTCTTTGATGGGAGGGCTGCAGTTGGCAAGGCCACCCTCCTCATCCACCGCCGGCCTCTCGGCCGGTTCTGTTGTCACCTCCAACCGGCACTCGAAAGGTTTGAGGATGGCACCCAGCAGGAGCAAGTTGAAGCTGATGAGCATGTTCCTCAGGACTGGGTTTTCACTGTCAGTCCCCATTTTCTTGGGAGAGGGAAGAGCCTTCTAAGCCAGCCTTGGTCAGCCAAGTGCGGGGAGGACCTGGGGACACAGAAGAAAGAGAGCATGGTTCGTGTTAGCCCTAAAACTGTGTTCAGCTTTGAGAGGCAAGTCCTTCTGGGCAAACTCATCCAGACTTGATGGGGCTGATTTGACCCGTGCACAGTCCTGCTGGCTTTGGTGGAGCCTAAATCAGCCCCGAGTGGAGCCCGTGGCTGGTGGGGACACCCCACCATAGCCCTTGGACAGTGACAGAGGGAGATTCTTGTTGCTTTTTTTTTTAAATTTTTAAAAGAAAGCAGTTAATCTGGTACTAACAAAGCACCGAATACACGTTTTCAGCAGAAACACCCTGTGTGGAGTCTACTTTCAGTGCCACATCAGTACAGCACGTAGGGGCCAAAGAGTTAACACATGGGTGATGGTGACGCATCCCGGCGCTCTCCTTTGGTTGTCTCCTGTGCCCTGGGAGCTGTGCCCGGGGTTGCTAAGCTTCCTCCAGTAGCTATAGGAACAGCAGCCTTGATGTTAAACACCATTAAATTATACCACACAGGCTCCAGCTTGTTCAGGTTGACACTCTGAGCAGACAAATCCCTCCCATTAAAGTGGCTTCACCCCCTGCCCGTGCTCTGGATTACAGGTTAACCTTGCCTTGATTTGGAACAACACAACTTCTTGTTCTGGTATTGATCGTGAGCCCCGGGGTGGTAATCCAGCCTCTGAGGACCACATTTATCGCCTAAAATCACCGGTGCCAGCCCAGTTGTGCTGAGGATGGATTCACCCCCATTACTCTTGTTGGGACCATTGTGTGCTGACCAATACTTAACGCCAACTGGTTCGCTATGAGGAATCACTGCCTGGTCCTTCAGAGGACAGTGCTAATGGGCAGGCGAGGCCATGTCTGCAATGTCATTGCATCCAAAGATACAGTTTGCCTTGTGTTTTCTTTGCAGGAGGTAGTCTTCCTGCAGTCCAAGAGGGATTGCTGGAGCATGGCTGCTCGGAGGGCACGCTCTGCCGTGGTTAGAGGCTCTCAGCTGAGCCCTGGCACTGCTTGGGTGTTGGGACAGCTACTTAAATATTTCCAGCTAATGGCTGCAAATGCTCGATTGGATTTTTTATAGCATTTTAGGAGGGAGTGTAAGTTGCTGTGTTCACTGCTCCCTGCTTGTGTTGGGTTTGTAGGAGTCAGACTGGTGAAAGCTGGTGATATGCTTTGTGGTTTCTTCTGCACCAGCAGTGCAAAAGATGCAGCAGGAACATTAAATCTCGTCAACAGGCTCTTTACAGTGCTGGTAGAGAGATGCAAAGAGCTGAAGACTTCCTTGCTGCATCACCAGAAACTTTACCAAAACTCCGAGAAGTTGTGGTTTAAGGTATTATTCAAAGCCAGGGCATAGCTCTTGCAGTGTTCAGCCTTAATTAATAATGAACTTTAATAACTCTGAATTTAGTACCATTAATAACTCTGTATTCAGACTCTAAGTAGGCTTACCCATTCATACAGATTCAAAGACTATGAATAAGCACCTGGGACTACATGACCTAAGAAGGACTTAAAACCTCAAGGACTTAAGCCCCCTGAGTGCTGGGGTGACCCATTTGGATAGAACCTGCCTTGAAGGGCCACCACGTGGAGAGGTACATATTGCCACATCTGCCAGCTACAACTTGCTCTTTCTTCTGGGACATTTGGTGGCAAGAGGAGATGGGACATCAGCCTGGTCTGACTCAGCTGCCTATTGCAGTAGGTCTCATACTGGTTCCTATACGTGGGAAACGGAGGTGAAGAGGAGTAGCAGGTTGAGTGTTTCCAACAAGCTGCTTAAAGCTGAATCTCCCAAGCTGCATTTAGTGCAGATACTGTAGGGTCTGGACTGGGGGGCGGTTCACGGCTGGTCCACGCTAGGGAACGCTGCCATGGTGAACACAAGGTGAGGAAGATGTGCTTTTGGTGGATGCTTCCCACCTACCCGTGTGGACCTTTTCCAAGCCATGGGAGCTGGCCTGGCAGGGTGGGTGCAATACCCCAGTGGTTCGGTTTTAGGAGGTGGGAGAAGATAGCAGTGCAAGGCTCAGCTGCGAGCCACGGCTAAGCCGCGCTTGGGGCCGCTTGCTGAGTCTGACTTTGCTGGTATCTATCTGCCAGTGCCATAATCATGAGCAATTGCCCTCCCTTACTTCTAACGACTCTCCAGCTCCCCTGGGAACAGCCATGCCTCCCCCCCTTCTCCTGCTGCTGAATGAAAATATTTGTTTACTTGTTTCTCTCCTACAATACCATGCTACTCCCAGAAAATATCACTATTCAGCTGCCTCGCAGCGTTATTATCCCATATTACTGCACTGTTTCTGCTGCACTTCTCGGCTTCTCATGAGCAGGCACCTGGGACTCCTTTGGTCGGCTCTCTCTTTTTCTTTGGGGTTTCAGGAAAAGCAAGAAAAATGGAAGTAACTCCACAGTGGGGTTGCCTCCTCCTTCCCCTTGGCCTCTGTGGTGGCTGTGGCCACGCTTGCAAAAGAGGAAAAGGAGGGCATCAGAGATGGCAACGGGAGGGAGCGAGAGGGGTGCGATCGATGCTCCCTAAGTGGCAATCTGGGGCTGCGCTCTCAGACCCTGACCCCCCCAAATCCTCCTCTGCCTTCTGGGCTCTCCAGTGGCTCCTGGGTGGCCCCGGCTGGCCCACAGAGAGATTTCTCATCCCTGTGTGATGGGGGGAGGCACAGGGACTAATTAGTGCCTAACTGACTCGTCATTGTTCGAGGCTAACTACCCACTCCTTGGCCTCTTGCTCAGCTTTTCTGCGTGCACTTGGAGTGGAAGTAATCGTGGCTGTGAGCCAGCTGCGCCGAGCTGGGCCAGAGCTTCAAAGCAAGCCTCCTTGCAGGATTACAGGAGCAGCTTAGACATGGGAGGATGAAATCCTCCTCCTCCCAGCATTTCGGATCCAGCCTGGCTCAACAGAGACACCAGAGCCAGTTTACAAGGGATGGGGGGAGAAGGGATCCGGTTGGATGCAGGGACGAGGGAGCAGGAGATGGGTCGGTGAATAAAGCGGGGCGAGTGGATGCATGGCGGAGATTGCTCGCTAATGACAGCGAGCAGGTTGGGTAGTTAATGACTCTCTAAACTAAAGACTGAAAGCCATTCATTTGCTGGTAGAAACTGCCAGGCTCATTGATCTGAATCTGTTTATCGGTGTACCCATCACAGCGGGTGCCGGCGGGATGCTGTCCAGCACCCGTTTCTGAGGGGCAAGTCACCGCATCCCCCTCAAGCCCTGCTCAACGCGGCGGCCTTGGGCAGGGGGTGATGCTGCAGGGGTGATGGCATCCCCGTGGCTCGATGCCTGGGGATCTTTCTCTTTTTTTTATTTTTATTAGAAACAGGATCATAGAAGAAAAAAAAAAAAAAGAAAAAGTCTTCCTGCCTGTACTGGGTGCTGGGTCAGGCTTAATGCCACCGGCTGGGCTGTTTGCTGTGAAATGGTGAAAAGTCACCCTGGTTCAGGCTGTCCCCAGCTCAAACCAGGCTGAATCCATGGGGTCCTGCAGAGCAGGAGGATGCTCCTTGGGGTCCTCCAATCCACAGCAGACCATTTGAGCCATAAATCCCTATTAATCCCCGACTTCTTCCTGGAGGCTTGCGCTGACAGCTCTGAAACCCTGCCAAATTTGTGAATGTGTTCCCAGGGTCTGTCGTCTCCCTTCCTTATCTGCTCCTGCTTTGTCTCCTGGTCCTCCTGTCAATGGTTTCCTTTTTCCTGAAGGACCCCATCACCACGAGTTCAGCCGAGGTGAGTTAACGCGGGGATCTGGCTGGCAGCGCTCCGGGGCTGCGTGCACGGTCTGACAGCTCCAGGCATGTCGACCGGGGAAGAGCAGCTGTATTAATGTTCCTGCTTTGGGTTCCTTGTCCTCCTACCCTCCCGGTGCTTCCCAGCCCAGGTAACGCTGTCCATGGGCAGTGACAGAACCGCTAGAGACCATTGACTGAGTGAACAGATTCAGGACTGTATAGTTTTTCCTTCTCTACGAGAAAAAAGAAGCAAATTTCTGTGGTTGTTTCATGTGTAAAATTAGTTGCGTTAGGGCAAATTTATCCGAGGTGCTTTTCAGTCTTTTTTTTTCTTTCTTTCTTTTTCTTTCACTTTTGTTGCCACCAAGTTCAGATAAAACTCCAAGCTGGTGGTGTTCCCGGTGGCTTCAATCCCTCCGACCCCAGAGGTGGCCATGGAAAACCTCCTGGCCGGGGCAGCGAAGGCAGCTTTGAACCCAGTGCTTTCCTGGAATCCAACGGCGATTTCTTCTCCTTCGCTTTCCAGCCGGGCTGGGGCAATGCCTCTCCATCCGCTCGCACCCACGATGGGGGGGGTTGAGCTCCAGTTGCCTCTGGCACAGCACAGGTTTGGGGCTGCTGCTTTATTTTTAATATCGTGGTTTGTTTCTTTCCCTGCCCCCAGCTGCTCATAGGTGCCGGGTGGGAGTCATGCTCGTTGAGAAACAGCTTTCCCTGTGCTTCAAAAACCAGAGCTGGTTTCCCTTGCTTTGCTTTGCTGGTTTTTTTCCACCCCTACGATCCCCTAGAAAACATGGGTGTTTGAATTAAAGCTCAAATTAAAGAGTTATTAAAGTTAATTATGAAGTTTGGCAGGCAGTGAGCTCTCTACTCCAAAGCATCAGCTTTGGGGAGCTGTGAAAGAATCAATCTGCTGCAATTTCTGTGTAATGCTCAATAAAAAAAAAAAAAAACCACACACACAGTATAAAACAGAAAAAT